AAAAATTGGGGTCCCCAGTGGAAGGAAAGTTTTTTTTTTTTTCCCAGGGGTTTTTGAGGTTGCGGGGGGCCCCCAAAATAGGGGGAGGGGGCGGGGGAAACCGCCCTGGGCTTTTCCCCCCCCCCCCCCCCCTGTTATCGTGTGCTTGATTTTTGCTTCTCCGTCGCCCCCCGCCCCACCCACCCCACCCTTCGCCCGCGATTCGATGCAACCGCATCGTGCGTCCGTTTTGGTTCAATCTTGACGGACGTATGAATGGATCGATGGCGCTTGTGGTCCTGCTTGGCTTGGCTGGGCTGCATTTGGCTCTCCGTTACCGTGATCGGCTGGGCTTGACTGGTCTCGGTTCGGCGCACATCCGTTCCCGTTTTTCTTTTCTCATCCCGTTTTCTGTTCCGTCCCGTTTTTCTCTTTCGTTCCATTTTCATTTTCCGTCTCTTTTTTCTTTGCCCGTCCTGATTTTTTTCCCACTCCGTTTTTTATTTTCCGCTGTTGGCGGATGGATCGCTCGAGCGCAGTTCCGCATTGTTTTCGTTTCCAAACTGTACACGCAGTTCGAGTTGGCGTGGTACTACACCTGGGCGTTCGTGACCCTGCTGGTCATGGTGAGTCTTGAAACGATCGGTCTCCAGACCGTGTGTGCCTTGTGCGAGCGGATACTACTGCTGTTGTCGTCGACAGAAAAATACAAAAAGAACAAACGGCTTGTAGGGGAAGTAGTCCTCTCCAACATTGATACGGGTACGGGCGCCATTTTTCTCCGCGCATCAGAGCTTTTGTTTTGTGTTGGTGTTTATTTTTGGAGCGGTCAAGTCTGTCTTGCCTGTGTTGTTGGCGGTTCTCCACGTGCCCCACGGACATAAATTTAAGGCGGGTTTTCGTGGTGAACAGGCATCCTTATCGAGCAAATTATGCCTTAATGCTTTGCGTGGTGCGTTACGCGTGCGGTGTTCCTTTGGCTGAGCACGAGCTCTCACTGGTGGAGTGATATGTGATCCCATCGCCCCTTCTCTTCTCTACTCTTCTCTCCCTCCACCAGACCTGTGACTGATCACCAATGTCTACAATACTGTATGTCGACTCCATTACAAATACTTCGTACTTCATATTCTCTGCAGGTTCGGCTCCCGATGTGCACCTGATTTCATTTGACACCACCACCCATTTCCTGTGCCATGGTCGGTAGCAGTAGCAGTGGGCATCCGGCTCCTGTTATTGCTGGCTAGCTTGCGTTCTAACCCCTTATTGACAAGCTCGCTTCGGACACGCTCTCTCAAAAACAACGTGGTGTGATTTTGCTCTGCCTGTGCGTGTGCGTCTCAGTCATTAGCACCGACTGCGCTAACCGGCTGCTCGATTTTTTTTTCGTTTTTGCAGTTCCTACCGCCCCGTGGGTTCTTCACGGTGGCCTTGAGGGATGACATTCGATGGGTGAGACAATGGGGGACTTGTCGTGTGTTTATTCACGCCTTGGGGACGGGGGGGGGGGAAGGCGTACTCTTACGTTTTGCATGCCTTAGCGGTTAGACCATTGACAACGCGTCCTCGAGAGGACGGAGCATTGTTCCCACAGGACTTATCACCGATGGCCAATCGTTCCTACTTTGCCAAAGGCGGCTCAAAAATGTCTTCCCTTGTCTATCTATCCTACCGATATCATTTCTACCGATATCACTTCTACCGATATCACTTCTACCGATATCACTTCCCGCCTTTTCAACCCACTTCCTATGCCCCAGTACAGCTTGGAGACGGGGGGGAGGGTACTCATAGCCGCGCATGACGTATTTATAGTCGTTAGAAGAGTGACTTCGCATCCCTCCAAAAACCGGGACGGGGGTATTTTTGGGGGGCCCATTTCTTGCGTATGCTCTAGCCCTTTGAACACCTCCCTTGCTACGGCTCACCTGTCGAGAAGGGGCACCACAGTTTCAACTCTCGCGAAGGTTAGGGTCGTTACCCTAAGTACCACGGCTTGCTTACCTGATCTCTTCTTCTCGTTCGTCTGTTTTTCGTCTTCTGCTGCCCTTCTGGTGCTGTTGCTGGCTCTCGTGGTGTGGTACAGAGCAAGTGGACGAGACTGCAGAAGTGGGCTGCGGTGCTCCTGGTCGGGCTTTTCTTCTTCAACAACCCCTTTCTCGCCGCACAGGTGTTGATCGCACCGCTTTTTTCTCGTGTTTAGGTTGTTGTTGTTATCACGTCGCTTGTTTATCATGATTAGTTGTTGTGGTTGTGGCGGTGGTGGTGATGGTGGTGGTGGTGGTGATGATGGTTGCTGTTGGTGCTCTTGATGTCGCCTTGCAACCCCCCGGATTGCGTATTGCTCGTTTCGTGCGCCAGCCTGGCATTATATTACTGGTGCAGCCGAGATGTGTGTTCGGACGGTCTCAAAAGAGGTCGTCTGAAGATTCCGCAAACCTCGTTTCTGCGTCTGCTAAACTACCAATAGTTCGAGAAATACGCCGGAGGTGGGGTCGGCGGTGGTCGCTCCAGTACCGTCGCTGCAGCATTAATAAACTGCACTCAGTTTGTGTAGAAACATGTTCTCCCTGACGGAAGGAAAACGTCCTTTCCGTTTCGTCGCGGTTGTTGTGCGTGCTGGCGGCGTACGCTTCGGCTAACAACACGTGTTGGTCTTTTTTTTTTGTGCGTCTTTTTTTTTTATTATTCCCACCGAGCCAGATTTACGGGGCTTCCCCCAAGTCGACGTTCATCTGGTACGCCGTCGCAGAGGGCGTTTTCGTGTCCCTGCTGCTCCTTTTCCTGCTCGACAGGCTGTTCGAGGCGGGCAACGCGGACAACGAGTGAGAGGGGGTGCCGTGGATGGGTTCCCGGGGGGAGGAGTGTCCTCATTGTAGCGGTGCATGCCGTAGTCGTTAGACCATTGACCTCGCATCCCTACAAAGCCGAGACGGAGGACGCCCCCGGTTACTCTGGCACATCACCAAGCGCGAAGCGCCGTGAGGAGGGGGGGGGGGAAGGAGCAAGTTGCTGGCTTGTCGCCGGGGTAGATTTTCCCTCTTCGCTGTTGCTGATGGTTCCCGTGTGTTTACCTCGACCACGCTATGTAACGGGACCCGTGGATAAGCTTGGCGTCAGTTCTCCGAGAATAACGCGCGTATGAAGGTGTATATCATGCAGGTGTCATGGGCCTCAAGCTACCTCCGCGCTTCCTTTGTCGCTGCCGGTGGACGTATCGCCAGGCGACAAAGACTGCTTTAACCAACAACCAAGCCCCTGTCGTGCGTGTTGCTTGGTCTCTCGATACCTACCGCGCGCGTGTTGCGAGACAGGAGGGGGACCAAGGGGGCTCCGGCGAGAGGGGCGGGAGTGATGCTCGCCCTCCTCCTGTGCATCGTGTACGTGATCAACATGATGTGAGTCTTCGTCCGCCCCGTAAAAAAATTGCCGATTCGTTAAAAAATGGTGCCGTTTGCTGCTGAGCCGAAGCGGTTTACTGCGGGGCCCACCCCCCCAAAAGAACCCGCCGAAGTTTGAGAGAAATCGTGCCCTTGACTCACGAGTGTATCCTTGTCAGGCGGTTGCGATACCGAGAGGAGAACTAGCTCTGTTCCCTGTGGTACGTTGCTGGTGCGCTTGTCTTAATATTGATTCATGAGTCGGGCTACCCATGGTTTCTTTTCCCGACACATGAGGCGAGATGGTTCCGGAAGTGTGAAGATCCAAGCATTCCTCTTTAATATTTCACTTGGGCCATGCATAGGTACCGCTGCCGTCGATTTTACGCTCAAGCGACGCAACTCCAGCGTGTAGAAAAGTCCACGGGAACCCTACTTCCAAGTTTGTTTTCGGTCGTTAGGCAACGCTAGGCTATGCTAGGCTATGCTAGGCTACGCTAGGCTACGCTAGACTACCCTAGGCTACCCCACGCTACGCTACGCTAGTACGAAGTACATCGCACGAGGCGAACCAATTATCTTGCATTTTGTGGCAATGTACTTCAATGCAGTAACGGATGTTCGTCTTGGACTATAAAACAGCAATTTTTGTTCGGCCCTTGAGATTGTGAGCGAGGCGCTGGGAGCGTCTGCGTCATCGCGGTTTCCTCCCCCCCTCTTCCCTCCTCTCCACCTCTTCCCTCTATGGTCGTGTTGGTCGTTGAACGCTGCGCGTCCGTCATTGTTCCATTCACATACCATGGTACTCCGGAAGCCGATCTATGCCCTTGCGGTATCTTTGGACGCACCGCCACCACGTGCTCCGTCCCGGCTTTGTAACGGTGCAAGGTTAATGATCTAACGACTACGGCTTGTGCAGCTATGAGTACACTTCCCCCCCCGCCATCTGCATTTGCCCATACTGTATCCACGAACCCCCCATTTTTCTGGCGTCTCTTGCGCTGCCTTTGGCCTGTCCCCCTCCAGCGATATCCGGGTGTCGAGAGATGGCAACCCAGATCGGGTTCACAAATGTGAGTGCTGCCACCCCGAAGCTAATATTGCGTAGTAGAAGTACCGAGTGTTTAGTTTACGGTAGAGATGGAGGGTCCAAAGAGTCCCGGCCACCCTGTTTTTGTGACGCACGGTTTTGTAACCGAGGCGGTCAAGATAAGATGTTGATTTTCCGACTCACGACTACCTGCTTGTTGAGCGTTTGCCCTTGCACCTCCTCCCTGCAGAAGACTATTCGCAATGTGAAAGTTTTTAAGCAAAAGGACACAAGAAGCGCACACAGTGACTGTAAACGGGGTCGCAATCGTCCAAGACACGGCGAACGGCCAATGGCACGCAGAGAGGAACAGAGAAAACGGGCACACCCGCTACCGACGCACGAAGCACAACGGTAGAAGTCGTAACGGCGGCAGAGCCACGTTGACAAATCTCCCCCTCCCCCTCGGCGATGTGAGAGCCTGGTCCGGTGAAAACCCGGGGTGCTCCGTCCCGGCTTTGTAGGGATGCGAGGTCAGTGATCTAACGACTACGGCATGCACGGCTACGAGTACACCTACCCCTTCCCCATCGTCCCCTCCTCTGCCCGCGCCCGCCCGCAATGCCTTCTTTTTTGTGTGTCTATCACCGCATCCAAGACCCGTACACGTCGACTGGCACGGAGAAGATCCTCACCGTTTTGGTCTTCGTCTACTGCTGCTGGGCGTTGCCCCTGGCCGGGCGGGCGTGGCGGTGGGGCCGGGGCCGAGAGAAGCTGCGATCGAGCCCGCGGGCCCGGTTCGTCGTTCTCTCCTCCTTCGTGACGTTGGCGTTGCTGCTCCCGGCGATCATCCTGGAGTACCTGCAGCCGAGAGTACGAGGTGAGGACGGCGACGCTGCTGCTGCTGCTGCTGCTGCTGTCCGTAGAGATAGATGTTCGTGCGTGCGTGTGTCTTGTGTATGTGTTTTTTTGTTTACGGCCTTGAGTTTGTGTTGTTTTGTTGGTGGTGATGACTTTTTATCCGCGAGCTGTCCTCTCCCGCGCGTTGTCCTATCGCGCCTGTCCAATCTCATTGGCACCATACAAATGGTTAGACTCAAAACGCGCATGAGGCATTTGACTTGGAAACATCGCAGTGAAATGTAAGTCGATGCCGTCACTTTCAGGTTGTGATGAAAAACTCTCCAGCTCTCGGACTACTTGGAATAAGTGCTGATGAGAGGAAAGACGACATACCGCACACCTATTGACATCGCATAGCGTCGCGCTTTGTGCGTGTCATTTGAGGTGGGGAACCGACCGCGGTTGTAGCAGGTTGAACGACGAACGTTTGTCCGTCGTAAGCGGGATAACGAGAACTCATGCACTATTCCGCGATAGATCGTGGCGTCCAACTTGTGTGTGTCGTTCAAGGTGTAGAATGGACCGCGGTAGCAGGTTGAAGGACGAAAGCAATGTCCGTCTTAGCGGGACATGTATCCGATTCGGCGGGACCCCACGGGCAACTGGCTGGGTTTGGACCGAACAAAGTCAAGTGTCGAAGGGCGATCGAGAGCTCCTCCGCCGCCCCCAATCGAATTGGATTCACCAACGGGCAGGATTTGGATAGCGTACACGCCTACGAAACGAACGGACATGAACAGCGGCATCGACTCTTTTCGATTGTTTTTGGCCATTACCACAAAAACAAATTAAAGACGACCGGCCGACCAAGCAACCCGCCGAACCAGTCCCTAGAAAGAGACAAATCGAACACCCAAGGAAAACAGACATCGTATGAAGACTCATTCACGAGAAATCGATTCGATGAAGCAGTCAAGTAGAGGTCAGCAGCAACAAAAATACCACTGGTTGTACCTTTTCGCGCGATCTGGGAGGCATATCAGAGCATAGAAGCACGCATATGGAAACGAGCCCTGACCCGCCGATGTGGTAATGCCTGTACCAGGTATATTTCATGGACCCATGCTTTGACCTCCAAAAGAAATGAAAACATGAAGACCTAACCTGCCGAGGTAGTACGCAAGTATTTTCTGATCCACGTTTCTTCACCCACGAAAAAACAACGAAAAAACCGACCAATAACCAACAACAGGCGGAGCGGCCTACACCCTACATTGAAATATTGAATCCATGTACTTCCCTCCTGATGAAACAACGATGTCTAACCACCATCATCTTCCACGACCACCTGCAGGCGGAGCGGCCTTCACCCTCTCCCACGGGGGCGTCAACCTCTACGTCGTGGCGCTGGCGCTCCTCTGCGCTCCGACGCGCGCGAAGAAGGAGGCCACAGACGCCAAGTCGTCTTCGTCGCCGTCAGTCGCAGGAGAAGCCGACGATGACGTCATCCGGACGACGATCAACCCAATGGCCAACCACAGGGCCGTCGACACAGTACAGGAGGAAGAGGGGGACGAAGAGGAGGAGGAGGAGGAGGAGGAGGACGAGGAGGGGGAGGGGGAAGAAGAGCAACGCCCCAGGAGCCACATTTGGTCCAGAAAGAAGCCCGCCAGGGTTCAGAACTCGACCCTTTGGGAGGACGCCTGAGCGGCGGCGGGGGATAGCGGCCGCGAGCGGACTGGCCGTACGTAGCGGCCCCGGCTGTAGGTAGAGGTATGTAGCGCTTGGAGCATACCAAGAGGCGGAGGAAGAAGCAGGGCTTCGTTTTTTACATTTTGTTCACTTGTCCTGCGAGGAAGTAAGTATTTAGGTTTTATTTAGCGCTGGGTAATTTTTTTTTGCTTTGGTAAAAGGAAGGTTGTTATTGTTCGCTCTGGCTTGTGTTGTCTTGTTTAAAGGATGGTGGTGTATGTCGCACTATGTACCTTTGGCTGTATTTTGTGTGGTTTGTGCTTTGCGGCTGTGGGGGCGTCTGAAGGCTGGGAGAAAGGGGAAAAGCCCCCCCCCCCCCCCACTGCACCCTCGATTTGTTACATGGATCGGACGATGTGAAGTATTTGTGAGCCGTCACTGTCCGCGATTTGTTGATTGCCGACTGAAATCGGTGAGCCGTGTGTGTGCAACGTGTTGGGGGGGCCGTGGCCGCTTTCAAGCGCCGAGCTCTTCGGGTGTGGGGGTGCCGTCTTATCGGAGCTTGTAAGCGGCGTGTCGGAACAGGCAAACAGCAAAAAGAACCTCGCCGGCAGTTCAAAAGACAACAGTCAGTAACGTAATAGGTTAGGATACCACGTGAAGAATACACCAACAGAGTTGCTTGCAGTGTCACCTAGTGGGCCGTCGCTTGAGTCAGAGAGGCGCGTCATTCGGTCTGGTTGTATCGCCAGCATGTGTTATTCGCGGTCTCCAGGAACGGGACCACGTGGAGTTGAACGGCCGGAGCGGAGCAAATCACCACGTTCTCTTGAGTTGTTTCGCGGTCGAGGCTGTGAGATGTACTCCTGTGTGTCCTCCCCCCTGTTCTTGAGTCCAAAACCCGCCGTGGTGTTTGATTCTCGGAATACCCAAGGAGAGGTTTGTATGAGGCGCTTCTACTGGGGGTGGGTAGGGAGTGGCAGGGATTGAGCGACGACTGACTAAGGACGCCATTAGGCCGGGCGGGTATTGACGACGTGATGTCGCCCGAGGCAAGCGCTGTGTTGTCCCCCCTTACGGCAGAAGATCCTGTTGTCCCAGCTGTGAACATAGTGTCGAGAAGAGTTTTCTATCTTTCTGTGTGTTTGCTTGTAAATTGGGGAAGAGCATGCAACCTCGCCTCGCGCACTGGTTGTTTTTAGATGAAGTGGCCGATGGGCGGGGACAAGGGCGACAGTTACGGTTCCGGTATGTAAACGTTTCGCCCTTGAAGAACCGGTCGTGACAGGTCGCGTTGGATGACAAAATCGTCACCCATTGATGACCCCGACGTTTTGTGCAGCACCTTGGCGCTACTCTGGCTCCCGACGTGGCCAGGCCTGGCTTGAGTCACATCATGATTGAAGGCGGTGTGGACAGCCAAAAATAGCACGTCCAAGTACGCTAAGTGCCTCAAAGTAGCAGTCCGTTGATGGCCATCCTTGCAGCAACCCGGCGCTACACTTTTCGTGGTCGGAAGCTAGCTTATTCAGTTGATACCGGAATGTGAACAGGTAAGGAACGTGAACGGGTAAGGCTTACTTGTTGTATGGAAGAAACACGTGCATTCAACATCGGCGAAGGGAAGGGAGGGGAAAGTGCGTACAACTGGTTGGGGAGGGAGAGGGGAGTACAGGACTGCCAATCGTTTACGGGGCCAGGGTACTCGTGTGTTGGAGAGATCTGTATGATGTCACATAAAACGCCGAATCGGCGGGAGACCTGGCCCAGTCCTTGTTAGTTAGAACCGGGCCAATGTAAAAGACACGGTTAGCGTAGCAGCGCATGCTTTCTTTTGTGGCGTCCCAGACAGCCACATGACCGACATGCCCAATACCGTGCTTGTATTCGGCGAATGGTTGGTGAGAAGCACAAGGGGCGCGAAAAATAGTGCGGTCGTTCTCGTGTTCTCGTCATGATAAATTTTACCTCCACACAGGGGAGGTCAAATTTCCTTCGAAGCGGGGTTGGGGGGGTAGGGGGGACGGGGGGTAGTAGGGCTGCCGCGATGGGGTTGTAATTGTGCGGATGTCTGATTCTCTTTTGGTAAAATAACGCTTTTCGTTTCTTTTTTCATATCTCGCGCCCTGCCACGCACCCCGTTGCTTCAGGCATTTTTCCGCCGGGAGGATTGTGTGCTGTCTGTTGATGCCCTGTTTGGTGGTAGTCGGTGTGCTGTCGTGTTGCCCTTCTCTTCTTTGTCAGTGCGTATGTATTTGTATCGTAAGCTTCTTTGTCAGTGCATATGTATTGGTATTTGTATCGTAGGCGCGCACGGTTACCATTGCTGCTGCTGCTGTCGACGTCGACGATTTTTCGACCGCTCGCTCTTTTCAGGGGTTGTAGTGCGTAGACGAATGCTGCCGTCGTTCTTGTCTGTGTATCACCATCGATATCGATGAACTTGTCCTTTTGTGTTGATGTCGTTGCAGCCTGTTGTCGTTCCTGCTGCTGATAATGGATGTTCCCTGCCCGTTGCTCAAGGACCTTGCCCGACCGGTTGTCTTGAAGAAAGAGGACACGGCATTTGTTTTTGTCTGTTTTTTCGCCACAACCTCCCCATTTTGGCGCCCATGCACGACAGCGTGGAGCTAGTATAAGGTATGGCTCAACTCCCGGAAACACGAGAGAAGAGATGAGGTATTTTGTGCTTGATTGGCCAACACCTGGGCGGTGGTGGCGACACCCGGCGTCGAAACTTCGCAGGTTCGCACAGGTCCATCAGACCTATCATTGCCAGCCGCATCCACCCGTCGTAGATATGCGGTGGTCCTCTTCTTTATGTACAGGGAGTTGATGCGAGGCTTCTGATACTGTTGATCGATCGAACGATCCAAGATCAACGTTCTAAACGACACAGCGTAATAATTCCTAGCTTGCCCTCGACTTGTTGACCCATCCAGATATCTGCACAGGTCTAGTCTTTTCTAGGGACAGCTGTGGGCACATACATGCAGTGCCAGAGCTCTCGTGTATCACTACTGCCATGCTCTCGCTACTGCCGCCCACTCCTCACTTCTATTCGCGGTCGTTCGAACAAGGTGACGACAGGAGACCGACGCCCGACCTTCCCCCTTTGGACAAGCGACGGGGGTTTCCACAAAACTGCCCCCGCTGGCGGATCTGCAACGCCACCGCCGCTGCCTTCATCGCTACCCCTTTCCTCGCGACCTCCACCACTACCTCCTTCTTCTCGACCCCCATACGTGGTCGTGCTTTCTCCAGCTACGGCCGCGTCGTTTTCCCCAGCCAGCAGCGTTCTTTTGTTGCCGCCGGGGCTGCTGTTGTAGCTGTTTAAAGGTCCCATTCGGTACAGATGCACGGCTAGCTCGAGCGACGGATCGAAGAGGCCTCCCAGGCACGACGACGTTCTTCTCCTCATCCGGCTCCTCTCGTCCCGCCGTTGGCGGCGTTCTCGACTTCCGCAAACGTCATGACCGCCACCGTCGCTATTGTGGCCGTCCCTATCGCCTGCAGGAACGGTGATGCTGCGGTCGAGCAACGGGAACGTACCCTCGACGATACGGCTGTCGACCAGCGTCTCGAGCGGGACCTGCGGATTCTCCGGATGGGTGGCGGGGGGGGGGGGGGGGGGGGGAGGGCCCCCCCTGGGGAAATTCTTTTTCGG